TTTCCAGGTAGATGGGTGGAGCTACTAATTGGATGTGCACCTGGAAGGCTGGGCCTAGGTTATTTAACTGGCTCCTCCTTCTCATTCTTTCTCTCTCCGACCATTTCTCAGAGCACCTGCTTCCTGTTTGGTTTGTGATATTTGGTTAGAAAATAAATATTTTTGTTTTAAGTTACTTAAAAGTGTGTGGTCTCCCATTTTTGTCTTGCTCTCTGAGCCAGGGCTATGACAACACACACACACACTGATGTTATTATATTGAATTACACTTTTTTCCACTCACTTCCTTGCCCCTAACTGAGTGAAAAGCCCTCATTCCGTCACCTCTAAGTTTAATGTTTACATTATTGAGACTTTTGTACACATGTAAGACATGACTGTGTTAGAAATCGCTGAGTGATCTCTGGTTGGTACAGTGACGCTCAGCAAATGTAATCAGGAGAACAGAGATTATGAAACGATTGCCTGATTTCATACTGTCAGATTTCCATTGTGGGGAATGGGGAAGCAATTGCATTAAACCTTCACTTTCACGTGCCGTGTGATGAATTATTGTCAAGTCATTCTGTCTAAATTATTAGTGATAGTTACCCCATGTTATTTTTTTTAAATGGCCTAATTAGAATGCGACAGCAGTCTACTCATTTAACTCTTCCAATAGTAGGTATTATATATATATAATTTACTTGAACTGTTACTGTTATTGGTCATGCTTTCTCCAGTAGCAACAAACGTTAAGCAGACATTTAATTCAGCAACTTGTTCAGCATTTGTTTTAAAATGTCATCATTTTTTTGGAGGATATGAGGCTGGTTGTTCCTGGCTCTCATCAAAGTTTAATTAGTTGCAGGATGGATTCTTTTGTTAAGAAATGAATGAAACTAAAGGTCTGTGTAAATCAGCACCAGTGTGTAATGACTCGCTCATTCACATCTTTGAGACTGTTAACATTGGCAGAAAATATCGGTAGTAGTATTTAAATAAGTATTTAAATACCCAAACGTGTCATGGTAAAACTATAGGTTTTGTTAATGTTTGCGTGTAGCACTGTGCAAAAAGTATTTTTCAAATATGTTTAAATATTTTTTAAACTATAATAATAACTCATGTAATACTACATAAGGAACTATGTCACTCACCTACATTAACACATTCATGTTGAATTATAT